TCAGAGAGGCATTGCTTTAATGTAGCATTTTGAATCACTTACGGCAAAATGTTGAACTAAAAACAGTTGGGATTTGGGAATAAAAATGTAAACCTGTAGATCCAAAGTTATGTCATCAGATTTGACCTTTCACCTTAAATGTTAGGCCTTAAGCCTTTTGACTTTTAATACAACAAAGGATGACAAACAATGAAACCTATTTGGATGCATCCTTAAATATGGTATTTTACACTTTTTAAAAAACTCTAAGCCATCTTAACGGTAAACCACTAAAACATTAAACCACTGCGGTTTTCTCAAATTATGTTTTGATTTATACATTTAGTATACATTAACTGCTGTCTTGTTTTCAAATCCAGACTCATGACCTGTATTCATTACATTTTTATTTTAAGAATACTAAAGACATGAGCAGACTGCACATGCTTGTCATCAAGATTTATTTGTGTATGCCAACCTTCCTATTAACTGTTGCATTGCAGCAACGAAATGAATAATTAATGACTAGTTATTAGTGATTCTTTATTATGAGTTTAGCAAAGCCCAAAGCTATTATGGCAGAAATCTAGACATAGAAATGAACAGTTTCTATGTAGAATTAACTTTTCAATGTCAAGTTTCTGAGCGAATATGCATACATTAATGCTAATAGCCTATTTTATACTGCCTCTAGTTTAGAGGGTTTCATTTCTTCACATTGATCCATTACCAAAATAAATTGGAGCTTTTCTACATTTCTGGTGAATGTAATTGTTATTCCACCATTGTTATCATTATGTAAATAGCCATAACACATTATAATTTTCATCTGTCATGAAGGCCCATACAATTACTCAATAAGATTGCATTCTCAGTGTATTGCTGCAGTATTACTACATGATTAAAGCATTACTATTGTATTAAAGCAGTTTCGCTTTTTAAAGAGTGCATTGCCAACTGTTAGTTGTTATATGTTATATTCAAGTGACCACCTAATCTATCTTAAGTTTTGCCTGGATTATGATATTCTGTTTTGTATTAGCAGAAGTTAATGACATTGAAATTAAATTTTTTGGAATACACAGTGTCTTAAAAACGTATTGAAAACCCCATTAAAATTATCTTATTTTTAAATTTATATATACTGCATTTGCATATAAATATGGCAATATTTCAATATGCTATTGTTTTGTTGCAATATTCTTAAGTTCAAAAATAAAATATTAAAAATAAAATATTCTGTCAGCATTATTTAATTGAGCTAGAATTGTGAATAGTCAAAATGAAAAATATGTTAAGGGTAAAAGAATACAATATTAAAGGATCTTTCTGGCCTGCAGAATAGCTGTATGATAAATGTAGAGCTACAGTAAAACAATTTTATGAATGGTACTACAGAGCAAAACCAAGCTTTTGGATATTCTAGTTACTATATGGGAACGTGTCTCAACAAGGCTGTTAAAGCAAGTCATGAAATTGCCAAAAAATAAATAAAAAATCATTACAAGACACAGCTTTTTTATCCAAAATGTTAAAATATAGCCATGTCCATAAACCAAAATAAACAGTCCAAAATCACACCTGGACATTGTGTAAATCTAGCACATAGCCATATTGCTGCGAACAATGTCTGTATAAGCTATAAGAGTGTAATTACATGTTAAGTAACATATTTCTGCTGTTGATTTTTGTAAAATTTATATCATATTGAGCCTTGGTTCTTTTATATATAATATAATATGGGAATTGTTAATTGGTAAATCAGAACTGGTTGTGAATATGTTAGTAAGGCACAGTACATACAGAGATGTACAGAGATGTGAGCTGAAACACACAGAACTGAAGTTATTCGGCCCCATTCCTGTTCTCTCTTGGTTTTAAAGCCTCAGGAAGGCAGCTGAGTCCCTGTTGAATAATAGATTACAGAGAGCAGAGCTGGATGCAGCTGGCCACGCTGCTTTTGTATCAGTTGGCTTGTCCGGCACAAAGCCTCTCTCTCTCTGCAGCTACAACTTCAAACACTCGCTTTCATCACACTTTCACCCAGGCCAAATATTTATGCATATCCTTTCTTACATAAGCTATGCATACTGTTTGTGTGCTTGGCGTGTTACAAATGACAGCATATCTATTATGCAAAAATCATATGCATGAAAGGATAGGCTGGGAAAATGAATTATGAACTAATATCAGTCATTTGCATATAGTATGTTTCTGAATGATAATGTGAGCACAGTATTTGACTTGTGAGACATTTACATAAGAAGTCTAATTATTTAAGCAGTGTTTCAAAGCTATCTGCATGCAGCCAATCACGGATCGCCACACTCGATTGCGTCACAGTGTTCTTTATTTACAAAACAGCCTGAGGAAGATGACCAGCAATCAGTCTGGCAAGAAAAGACCCTGTGTACCTCTTACAAACTGCACAGTATATCATAGTCATTCATGTGGCATTTGATGGATGATCCACTGAAATACAGGATGAGAATCTCTCTAAAAGAGACTTATGATATATATGGAAGCCTGTTTTGTCACCACGGAATAAAAAAATAATTAAATAAATAAGTAAAAAGGTAACTGTGACTTTATACTGCTCAATTCTGACTTTTTCTCACAATTCTGAGAAAAATAAAAAGTCACAGTTTACTTTGTATTCTGTGGTGTAAACAAAAAGCAAAATTACGAGATGTAAATTCAGAATTGCAAAATACTGTATAAACACAGAATTCAGGCTTCTCGCATGTCGGGTTTACAACTCACAATTCTTTTTTTTTTCTTTTTCTTTTTTTTTTTACCACAGAATAATTTTTTTTTTTAATTATTTGCTACTTTTTATCTTACCATTACGACTTTTTCCTCACAATTGCACGTTTATACCTCACAATTCTGACCTTTTTTCTCAGAAAATATATATTTGTGTGTATATGATTGTATATCTTGTAGTTTTGATTTTCGTGATTTTTTGATATATAAATCAGAATTGCGAAAAAAAGGTCCAAATTGTGAAAGAAAAAGTCGCAATTACCTTTTTTATTTTTTATTTATTTATTTTTTAAATCCTGTAGGTCGGAAACAAGCATGAACATTTTATGTTAGCTAATAAAATATAAAGCTATTTCTGGCCTTCTTTTTTAGTGTATGAATATAAATGGTTTCCTTTTCTTTTTTTAAAACGTCAATTCATAATAAATGCAAAAATAATTACATTTTATTTGAATAAGGCAGACAGATTGAACTGAAAGAGCATAATCTAACTGTGTGCACATAAAAGAAAAAACAAACAAACAAACATTAGTCGCACGACTGCAACGCAACCCGAGTGTATAACTCCCATTTAAAGCAGAAAGCTGCTGTTGTCAAAGCTCTGCTGCATGCATTTCATGGCATTTGTAATGCATTCAAAAAATACAATACATTTCACATACTAAATTGTAACGTGACAAAATTAAACACTGAAACTCACATGCCAACAACAGGTTTCAGTTTTGCATGCAACAAATTCAGGTTTTTAGTATTGTGACAATTGACTTTGGTTCATCTTGGAATCAGCTATCAAGGACATATCCCTAATCGCTGGTTTAAGACAGATGACTTCACATTCATTCTGGATAATCTTCTGTTTGCCACCTGAACAGTTGATATTTGATCTTATGCAATAAATCTACATTTACTGTATTTTTGCAGTGAATGTTGCAGTAATGTAGCCTATACTGTTTTACGAGGACCTGACTGACAGGTACATGAGACTAAGGATGCATACACAAACATTAAACAATCCTTATGTACAATGTTCAGTGTTGCTTCCATGCAAGTCTAAAGAAACAACAGCAAAAGATCACAGTGATATTAATTTATACATTCATCAAATCAATGCTCAGTTTCTGCATCTCAAGCATAGGGATCCTCTCAGCAAGTCTGTTTTATATTTATGTAATACCAGGCTTTGTGAAAGAAAATTTGTAACTTGCAATATAGCAGCACTGAAAAACATCTGAGCATTTGAAACACTTTACTGCTAATTCTCACATTCAATTTTTGTGCACCTGAATGTGTTATGTCACATATGCCATTATATATTATATATATTTTTCTGAGATAAAATCTCAAAAATATGGGTTCTTAATAAACATTTCCTTTTTAAAAACAGAGATTTTATAATGTTTTTAAATTGTGCTGTAAATGCCTGAAGTAATTTCAATAGAAATACTGTCAATCTCAAAGCAGCCCACATAAAAAAAAGGTTGGTTAATAACGTTTTTTTTCATATATAAATATAGCAAAGTTGTCACATACCTCATTACTAAGTGCAGGGTTTCTCAAATGTGGGTTCGCAAACCCCTGGGGGTTCATGAGGGATCTGCAGGGGCTTCATGAGTTGATGAAAAGCTAATAATTAATTAAATTAAATTAAATATACAACTAAAATAAATAAATGGGTTTGCATACTTCATCAAAATTAAACAGAAATCATGATATGGCTTAGTGTGATTATCACATTCAAGGCTACACTTTAATTAAGATGTGTAAAATGAATAAGTTAGTGTAAAATGAAATTTGTACAATTATCAATTATTAATGACTTAATTTTTATCATTTGTGTTAAAATAATAATAATAGTAACAATAAAGACCCTGTACAAGGTCTTAGTACGTTTCAGCAGCAGCAATATAAGATGTTTTCTTATGAGATGAAATGTCATATCACTCTTAAAATCGCCATATATGTCAAAATAATGGAGTATATTTTCTAGACAAGTTGTGTCCAAAAGTATATATAAAAATTATATGCAGTATTTAAATAATTTTAAAATAAAAACAATCAAACTAAAACATAAAAAAAAAAAAAAGATAAAATATTTGATCTGTTTTGTTAGAGTTATTTGACCTTTAACCAACATCAGATAATCGTGAATATGCAAATCTGTTGTTAAATTATTAAAATATTAACTTAAAATCTCAGCGTATAAGAGGTTCGGCAGACAAAATAGTTTGGGAACCCCTGACTCAGTGGGCCGTCCTTTAATCGTCACATCACGCTTCTTATTTGTAATTGGCTACTGTGGCTTGATTTGGCTGCACACAGTGGGTGGAGTCTTCACTCTGATTGGTTGCCTCACTCTGACTTGATTCTGGCTCATGGGTGGAGTCTGAACTCTGAGACGATTCTGTCTCTCCTGCCTCCAGACTGGAGATACACTCAGAGGCTCTCCGTGTTTGCTGATAGGACAGACAAAGCTCCTCCCACTTCTTTCGGTTGGCATCAATTCCATCTACCATCGGCTGAAGCTTCCTATTCAACTTCACAAGAGCCTATAAAATACATTACCATCACTGTATAAAAGTAAATTAGCTTGAGTTAATTTATTTGCTTTATCTACTTAACTCTTTTACCTCATATAATGGCTTACAAATTCCATCAATCCATTCCAACTGAAGCACAGGGAGCTCATCTTTACGATTGCGATCAAAAATTGCCTGAATAAGCAAAATTCATTGATTTTGACTTGAATTGAGATGATTGACATTTCAGCAAATTTAACTTAAAATATATGTGAGAGAATACATACAGCTGGTGTCAATTTCAGCTCTGATCTCTCCCTGTCACCTTGTTCAAAGAATTCACTGGTCACCAATTCAGCCACCTGGAATTAAAAGCATATAGATATGACATTATTTTAATGTCCACTATGATATGTTCCCATATGCTGCAGTGGTTTCAGAGAATATACAGTACTATAATTTTCTTACCCTATATTATATTTATATTTTCTATAGAATATATATACATAGTTAAACTGTTTTTCACAATTTGGTATGTGCATTTATTTTGCAGTGTCTGTCTAACCTGTTTTGAGATTTCCCATGGTCGGGTCACTGCACCCAAGTCACACGCAGTCATCAGCATAGACCTAGTATGTTTAAATATTTAGAACATTTACAACAGCTCTTGGCATTTCTGTTATATATTTTAAAAGTTGTAGACACTCACCTGAACATGTCTCTATGTTCTTCATTACTCCAACTGAACTGCCCCGACAGAACACACTCAAAGAACTGGGTTCTTTTTCTTTTATGTCCAATGGATAATGAAGATGATGAAGAAAAAAAGATCCAAAAATGAATTTTACTTAATTGCAAGTTTTATCATTTAAATTAATTTGATTTAATGTTCCTTAAGGCATCTTTCAGGTCTTCACCAGGCTTTCAGGATCTGAACAAAAGCCACAAAAGTGGCTTAATATCACCTCTTCTGCCTCTATTCAAAGGGCACCTCTCTGTGGCCTAAACGTAAATTACATGCATCTGGCAGAATATTTAAAGCTGGGTTAAAGCTGAGGGCTACCCCTTATTATGACTATTGAAACACATATGCTATTTGATACTATTACTTACTTGAAATACAATGTGAGATCTGTGGACAGAATGGCCTGTTTCAGTAGCTGCATCATGTTGCTGTACTCTTTGGAGGACAGATTAGCAAAAATGTTGTGACCCTGTTAAAAAAAAATGAAAAAAAGATGACAAATATTACAGATTAAAGTTGTTATTTCCAATAGTAAGGGGAGACTGAGGCAAGATGTCTAAATTGGAAAACTGGGTCACTCGCTTAATCTAGTGCAAATGCATGACTAACATTTCATATTCCCTTTTATTTAGGAGAAAAACTATTTGGTTTGTCCTTTATAATCAGTGCTTTTATGTCCACATTTGTCTTTGATAATTTACAATGGCACAGCTTACCGCTAATGTGAGTCAACATATCTTTGTAAAATCTCAGTGGGGAAGAAGTCATATTTCTGTGGCCCTGTGCTTTCAGTTAATTTTATTTGATAACAGACACTTTTAAACATAATTAGATCTATTAATTTTAGCTTTATCTAATTTTACTCTTTCCTAGAGGACAGCTTAAACCTGTAAAGCCTGACATTCTGTATGGAATAATAGTCCAAAATATTTTTTTTTCTTTTTTTGAGCATCATATTTGATACATCAGGCTTTTATGGGTAATTTAGTATGATACAGGAGAATATGGAGTAAAAAAACACCTTAGTTTTATTCAGGGGCCCAAATTGAGCAAAATATGCAATTTGGTGCAGTTGCTGATATTTATATGGCCAAAAAGGTCATTTTAAATTATGACAGCTTGTTATGTAAATAAATTAGATCTTTATAACAGTATAGCAGACTACTTACATAAAATGCGTACAAATATAGTGTCCATATCTATACAAATATCAATAATATGTCTTAGTAAAACTTATATTTAAATGCTTAGTTTTATTATCAAAGTTCTGTAGTTTTTATTGTGGGGGAAATATATAGGGAAATGCAATACAATGATGACTAAGAGATGTACAAATAAACGTTCCTCAAAAGCCTGATGTGTCATATTTTATTTTATAATCAATAATCAGTATGTTGCTTTAGTCCAGTAAGTGCTCATATTTATATATTACTAGCAATATAAAATTTATTCTTATGTTTACTTTATAAAAATCGGTCAAAATTTCACAGCAAAATATATGTTTTCCACAACCTGTGGATTTTTTATAATTATACTAAAAGGCCTTTTACATGCTAACAAATATATAAACTGTCAATCAAATGACAAAAGGCACTTAAAAGCTCATGTTCTAATTTAGAGGCCTTGGAAATTTGTGTATCAAAGACAGTATGAGACAGTAGGCATTATAGGGTTAAGTAAAATGCGGCACAGCTTACCCCACTCTCTTAAGGTCTACAGTAAGTGAAGTTTGGGGAAAGCACACCCCTCATTCCAAGTTCTATTACTCCTACAAAGCCCTGTCTTTTCTGCTGATATAAAGCCAATCATGAAACCAGTAATCACTTCATACCCCTGAGTATCATTCATAAAGTGTGTGTCTCCAAAGTTCTCTATGCATGTTCAGTCTCTGGGATAGAAAGCAATTTCTTTCTCGCCTTGCTTCAGTGCAGCTGACCCAAGAGGGGAATCTCCTTAGCACAGTTAATTGGTGTTGGTTAAAAAAGCTCAATGGACGTCTACAGGAAATCGATACAGAGCTTGGTCATGATTAAACAGCTCAGAGCTAAATCAGCCACTTAATCAAATGCTGACATCCACTTGCATTCTTTCCATCCACTGAGACATGCAAATGTGGACAGCGGTAAAATGGGTCATTTCTGCAAATCAATTACGTGAGAGGGACTCATTATTACTCCATTGCTTGACAATGTTCATTGTGCTCTGCAGATCCTTCTTTACACATACAGTGGAGTTCAAAAGAGTGAATAACAATTTCAGTGAAAAGTCAAATTTAAAAACTAACATGAATTTGTACATACCATTTCTTTCATTTGCTTTACTGATAGCAGCATTTGAGCTGCATGAGCTACACAACTTTGTGTACAATAATCCTGTTATGCACATATTCAAAAATGATCTTGTTCTTGAATAGTGTGGAATCTGAAACATTTCTTCTTCATTTTATATAATAATGTCTATGTTTTTATTTTTTAGAAATCCCAAAACTTTGATTATTCACACGTTTATAAATGATTTTGAATTAAAAATTTTTATGTATCAAAATTGAAATATCAGACTTTTACTTCTGTACTGCTAAGTGCTCAGCGCTCAGTGCTGTGCCCCTCTTCTGAGACCTGACCTGACAGACTAGTTCATGCTATTTGCTCACCTCACTCTGCAGGATCATGACAGCATGGTTGAAATGATGATGCTCTAGTGTAGCAGATGTTCCGTACAGCAGCGCTAGTGCTGACCCAGACCTTTAGGACCACAACAGAGATCAGATACAGAACAATAAGCACATTATATGTTGCTGTAGAAACACACAGGTCACACTATATAGACTGCACTACAAAAAAAAAAAATTTAAAAAAAATCTTTATATCATTGTCTTGTTTTCCATAAAACCTTAAAACTAAACAGATATACTTAAGAGGCAAAATTATGTAAATAATAATGAAACTTTTTTCTTTCAAAGAATAGATCTTGAATTACGTTTCTCATACCACATTGGTAAACTGGGTAATAAAAATCAAATTCAAGATAAATCCTCTGGAAACAAGCTGTAGTATCTTGTGCAGATTTTCATCCTACTCATTATGCTACTGTTCAAAGGTTTGGGGTCAGTATGTTTGATTCTTTTAAAAAAAAATAATGCTTTTATTCAGCAAATACTTATCAAATACTTATACTGATCAAAAGTGACGGTAAGACTTTCCAAAAAATAATGAGCAGCACAACTGTCTTTAACATTGATAATTAATAAGAAATGTTTCTTAAGCACCAAATCATCATATTAAAATGATTTCTGAAGGATTGTGTGACACTAAAGACTGGAGTAATCATGCTGAAAATTCAGCTTTGCATCACAGGTATAAAGTACATTTTAAAATATATTAAAATAGAAAACAGTTCTTTTGAATTGCAATAATATTTGAAAATATTACTATTGTTGCTGTATTTATAATTAAATAAATGCCGCCGTGGTGCATTAAGCATAAAAGGTGTTTTTTTAAAAACATTAAAAAATCTTACGAACCCCAAACTTGGTAAATTATTTATTGTTTTTAGAATATTTTGATATTTTGACTGAAAAAAAAAAATCTGATTTAAGACATAAGAATACAATGCTAAATGCAAATAATAAAATGCAACTAGTCATGTAAACATGCATAATTAAGATAGCAAAATAAAAAAGGACTTTAGCCTTTAAAAAGGAGGTGAAAACACCTCCCGTATCTTTTGTTGTTGACGTTAAAGGCTGTGCAGCCAATCAAACTCCACAGTATTACCACAAATCGGTCAGTCAGTAGAAGTTAGTCATATTAGACCAGGGTTCGGCAACCTTTTGGGCATGAAGTGCCATTTTTAATTTTTCTGGTTAACCTCTGTGCCAATAAGCCCCCCACCCCCATGTTCTGCTAAAAATCTGAATTTGATTATCATACAAATAGTGCAGAATCTTAAACATTTCTGATGCATATTTTCATAAATTGTTTTTTAAACTTTTCAAAATTTGTGTATTTTAATGTTTAAATTAGACTTTGAATAACAGATTTACAGTGTGAACTTACTGAAATCCACTTTATGTATGTGTGTGTATGAATGTTGCTGTTCACACAACACCGTCATTGTGATTTGTGTGTGTGTGTGTAACAGAGGTCAGCTGGTAAATGCTGTGCCGGTAAACCTCACTTCCCTGATCTCAAGAGGCACGCTAGCGACAGACATCAGAGTCTGCGGTCTTTAGCATTCTCGTTAGTGTGCCTGCCTCCCATGCTGGCGACCTGGGTTTGAATCCCACTAGGAACAAGAATGAGGTGGGGCGGTTAGGACTGGAAGAGTTACATTGGTGCCGTGACCCGGATGGGAGTGAGGTTTAGGGGGGTGAGTGTAACGGAAGTGCTGTGCGGTTAAACCTCAATCCTCTGATTTCAAGAGGCGCACTAGCGACTGACGCTAGAGGCTGTGTTCTTGTTAGCATGCCAGCGGTCCTGGTTCGAATCCCCCTGGGAACAAGAACGAGGCGGGGCGGTTAGGACTAGAGGAGTTACACTGGTGCTGTGACCCAGATGGAAGTGAGGTTTAGGTGAGTGTAACAGAGGTCAGCTGGAAAGTGCTGTGCTGTGTGTGGTCTTTAGGGTTCTTGTTAGTGCACGCCTCCCATGCTAGTGACCTGGGTTCGAGTCCCACTTGGAACAAGAACGAGGCGGGGCGGTTAGGACCGGAGGAGTTAAATATGGAATGTTAAGAACTTTGTATACTGACCTAAAAATTTTTGTAGCGGTAATTTATTTATTTCTATGAGCAACAAATGCATAATGAACTGTAAGCTGTCATGCACTCAATCGCGTAGCGTGACTGAAGGTAAATAGACCTGACCTATGCGAACGCACGGCGCAGCATTGATCTGAAGCTCCTCGTATACAGGTGCATCTCAATAAATTAGAATGTCGTAGAAAAGTTCATTTATTTCAGTAATTCAACTCAAATTGTGAAACTCGTGTATTAAATAAATTCAATGCACACAGACTGAAGTAGTTTAAGTCTTTGGTTCTTTTAATTGTGATGATTTTGGCTCACATTTAACAAAAACCCACCAATTCACTA